TGCAAAAGACTTGAGACGGGGGTGGAGGTTCACCTTCCAGTAGGAGAACAACCATAAACATACAGCCAGAGCTACAATGGAATGGGGTCTTCAAACTGCAGCCCTTGGGCCAGATGTAGCCCTTTGCTTGCTCAAACTGACACCAACAATGGGGCACTATTCCTTCCACTGACACCAATGATGGGGCACTATTTCTCCCATTGACACCAACAATTTAGCTCTATTCCTCCCACTGACACCAATAATGGGGCACTGTTCCTCCCACTGGCCCCAACGATGAGGCACTGTTCCTCCCACTGATCCCAACGATGGGGCACTGTTCCTCCCACTGATCCCAACAACAGGGCACTGTTCCTCCCCCTGACACCAGCGACGGGGCACTGTTCCCCTCACTGTTATCAAAAATAGGGAACTAATTACCCAACTGGCACCAACGATGGGGCACTGTTCCTCCCACTGACCACCAAGCCTAGGGTATTGTTTACTCCCACTGATGCCAGGGCATTTACTACGCCCACTGGCCACAATCCAACCCCCTAAATTTTGAAGGGCAATAAACTGGCCCTTTGTTTCAAAATTTTGGAGACCCCTGCTTTATAACAAAGCATATTTATGTGTTAGAATAGCCCAGTTAAAGTCCAGACCTAAATCCAATTGAGAATCTGTGGCAAGACTTGAAAATTGCTGTTCACAGACGATCTCCATCCAAGCTGACAGAGCTTGAGCTATTCTGTAAAGAAGAATGGGCAGAAATGTCCCTCTCCCTGGATGTGCAAAGCTGGTAGAGACATCCCCAAAAAGACTTGCAGCTGGAATTGCAGCGAAAGGGGGTCCTGCAAAGTATTGACTTCGGGGGGTGGTGGGCTGAATACAAATGCATGCCACTTATCATTTTCTTTCCACTTCACAATTATGTGCCACTTTGTGTTGGTCTATCACATCAAATCCCAATAAATACATTTACGTTTTTGGTTGCAACATGACAAACTGGAAAATTTCAAGGGGTGTGAATACTTTTTCATGGCACTATGTGTAAATATATATATATATATATATATATATTTAATCTGTTTTTTTACAGATAAACATCTAATACAGGGAACCATCCATAACACAAGATTCACAGTTGTAGATCAGAGAAAACAGCACCACTCCACGTCTTGTGTATATGATCCTCCGGTCTCTATAAGGACCCAAAATGAGCTTGTCTAACTCAACACAATAAAAACAGAGGATGAGGCAGCATGCTGATGATGTCACTCCATTTATGCAATGATTTATCCATTCACATTGGCTTTAACCCTTTGAGGACCAAGGGATGTATTTGTCCCATGTTTTTAATTGCCTGTATCATCTGATTAAGAACTTAAAATACTTTTCTTTTTTTTTGGTTTGAGTCAAAATATTACTTCTTATCAACAAATGGATCTAGCTTTTTGCCAATTATTTCATGAAATGGCTTAGTTACAGCAAATGAAGTGTACAAACTTTAAAAACAAAAAGTTGATTCTTTTGGCGTTCCGTAATCTTATGGTCCTCAAAGGGTTAAACACAGTCCCTGCTTGTAGCCATGTTCCTCTGAGGGCCCTGGGCGGGGACTATGTATGAAGTCATTTTGAATAATAAATCACATGGCGTGATGTCATCAGTGTGCAGCAATATCCTCTGTAGTTACAGGATTCACAGGCCATTATAAAAATTCTCAAGAAAGAATACACCAGAAGGTGCTTTCTTTGAGACACCCTGTCTCTGACTGAAACTCCATACAAAGCCCTATGAAAGGATGGTAAAATCATGAGGGAGGGAGTGGCTGCTCCAAATTATTTTTGTGAGTAAATTTCAACTTCAGCTATTGCCTTTTATTGCTATTGCTTTTGTCTTCCTCTGGATCAACTGTGGGTATAGGATTATATCTTTTTTTTTTTTTTTAATGGTTAAACTGGATGGACTTTTGTCTTTTTTCAGCCAGACTAACTATGTATCTATATGTAACTATTGAGTATTTTAATCAACAAAGCAAATAAGCAGATCCTGTAAAAATGAACTGCGGGTTTTTCTTGCTGGTTGCATATGAAAATATGAGATATTTGTATGCAATATTTCATAATTATCTGCCAAAAAAAAAAACTTTTTTCACACTTTATTTTTTATTTTTGACCATAATAAATAGAAAAAATAAATACAATTCCCTTTACAACTCATTACATGGATACGCTGTCTGCTATTTATAATGAAAACCAAAGTGCACCATTAGTGAATTCTTTCAGTAAACTCTTTCATGATAATGTACTGCAATTACTGCTGACTGCCTACTGTACAGCTATTGTATTTTATAGGCTGACAAAAAAAAAAAAAAGAAACAAAATGCATTTACAGTTTATATTTTATTCTAGACCACAATAAATACAAGAATTACTGTATATAAAAATCCAAGCTAAATTTAGCATCATCTGTATTCGTCAGTTAACTTGAACAAAACTGTGTGAGTATTTGACTACCTAAAAATGTTTACACTGGGGTTGATTTACTAAGGCCTGGCTCACACCACCAGTTTGTTTTTTATCCATATATGCAATTCTTTTTTCATTTCGCTTTGTGTTTTTACACATGCATTCTTGTAGCGTTTTTAGCACGTTTTCCAATTTTTGCAGTTTTTTTTTTTTTTGTTAAAGGGAAATGTTTTTGTTGCTGAACAGAATAAAAATGCAAAACACGGCAAAAATGCACTACATGCGTTTCAGCAGCGTATCCACTGAACTCTATTGTAGTGGAAACACTGCTTTTTTGTTAAAAAAGTCCCTGAACCTTTCCAAAAATGCAGCTCTTCAAAAAAGCATAGATGTCAACGTGTCCCGTAGGGAACTATGTTAAATGGACTGTAGTGCGTTTCTGTGGAAAGCACTAAAAAAACGCATAGGTGTGAACCAGGCCTTATGCAGGCCATAGACGGGGAGAAAAACGGCAGATTTTTCTTTTAAAAAATGAAAAATCGGTCGTTCAAGCGGCCGACGTTACCATCAATGGTGAAAAAAAATCGGCCGATTTTCATCCTGTCTACAGCTGGCAAAAAGTGTCCCTGCAGAGAGCTCCGCTATTTCTTTGACAGTTCTTTGACAGTTCCTTGACAGGTTGCAACAATGTATCTATTTGTATCCATTTAGGATACAGATGTTTTTATTCGGAAACAAATAGATACAATGTTGCAACCGCTGTAAATGTCAAGGAACTGTCAAAGAAATAGCGGAGCTCTCTGCAGGGACACTTTTTGCCGTACTGGAATTCCTCTAATTTTTCATCCTTCTTCTTCTTCTCCTGCTTCATCATCATCCTCTTCTTCTTCATCATCATCCTCTTCTTCTTTTTCTTCATCATCATCATCCTCTTCTTCATCATCATCCTCTTCTTCTTCTTCTACTTCTTCATCATCATCCTCTTCTTCTTCTTCTACTTCTTCTTCCTCTTCTTCATCATCATCCTCTTCTTCTACTTCTTCTTCCTCTTCATCATCATCATCCTCTTCTTCTTCTACTTCTTCTTCCTCTTCATCATCATCCTCTTCTTCTTCTTCTTCTTCTACTTCCTCTTCCTCTTCATCGTCTTCTTCTTCTTCTACTTCTTCTTCCTCTTCATCATCCTCTTCTTCTTCTACTTCTTCTTCCTCTTCATCATCATCATCCTCTTCTTCTTCTTCTACTTCTTCTTCCTCTTCATCATCATCATCCTCTTCTTCTTCTTCTTCTTCTTCTTCTACTTCTTCTTCCTCTTCATCATCATCATCCTCTTCTTCTTCTACTTCTACTTCTTCTTCATCATCATCATCCTCTTCTTCTTCTTCTACTACTTCTTCTTCCTCTTCTTCATCATCATCATCCTCTTCTTCTTCTTCTTCTTCTTCTACTTCTTCTTCATCATCATCATCATCATCCTCTTCTTCTTCTTCTACTACTTCTTCTTCCTCTTCATCATCATCATCATCCTCTTCTTCTTTCTCTACTTCTTCTTCCTCTTCATCATCATCATCATCCTCTTCTTCTACTTCTTCTTCTTCTACTTCTTCTTCTTCTACTTCTTCTTCCTCTTCATAATCATCATCCTCCTCTTCTTCTTCTTCTACTTCTTCTTCCTCTTCTTCTTCTGCTTTTTCTTCTTTTTGTCTTCCTCTTGCAGGTCACTGCTCATGCGCAGATTTTTTATCGGTAAAAAATCGGCCGATTTGCCCATTATTGCCGCGAAAATCGGCCGATCGGCAAAATCGGCCGATTTTTTTTTCCAACTTTACCGGAAAAAAAAACCCGGCCAAAATACCGAAAAACGACCGAACAAATAGCCCACTAACGATCCGAAAATCGGCCGATTTTATTTTCGGCCGAAAAATCGGCCGATTTTCGACCCATCTATGGCCTGCATTAAAATGGAGAGTGCAAAATCTGGTGCAGCTGTACATGGTAGTCAATCAGCTTCTAACTTCAGTTTGTTCAATTAAGCTTTCTTGAAAGCAGTCTCCCATCTGTTTCTTAACCTCCCTAGCAGTCTGATTATGTCCATATTTCTGTGCTCAAAGCGGTACATTTTTTTGCATGGAAATATGTATTTTTTTTATTGTAGGCCTGTAATTTTTAGGAATAACTCACTGAAATCTGTCTGAACAAGAGTCTAGTAAATTTAATAAATTAATCATAAAAAATAATAATATAATAATAAATTTAATTCAATAAGATAATCAAACCAAAAACACTGAAATTTGAAATATAGCGCCAAGTTCGCACATCGCTGAGCAAAGTCGCAAAATCGTTTTCAGTGTCTGATGACGAATTTCCCCACGAATCATTATCACTCAATTCTGCAAGTGGTTCTGATTTACTATCGCTGTTCTCTAGCCGGTCTAAAACCGCTTTTGACCTAAAGGGACGCTTTTTGGACGCCATGGATGTTTCTCAGTTTCCAGGCAGAAAGAACAGACAAAATGCAGGCAGGGCGCAGGACAAAGCACTCGGGACAAAATGTATGTGAAATGGTTTGATACAGTAATGTTTTACTATGTGATTTTAGTGTATTTAGTGATGTCACTGTTTGTCATTTTCAAATTTCCCGCCGCTCCGTCCCCGTACGTCCTGACGTCGCAGGGAACGGAACCCAGAAGACAGATGCCGGCATCCACCGGAGGACATTACAGGGGACACTGCAGGAGGGACATCGCGGGAGCGCAGGACAAGGTGAGTGAAGAACAAATCCCGGAGCAGTGCCGCATGGTAAGCCCGAGTGTAGCTCGGGGTTACCACTTTTGGTACTGAAACTTTACCCCGAGGTACACTCGGGAATACCACCAGGAAGGCTACGGACAAATATGTCTTTGATTTAGTGCATGGTTTTGAACAAACACCCTACTCCAATTTTGTATTAAAATCTAAGAAATGGACATAAATGTGAAAAAAATGAATATAGTACTTTTAACAGCTTATAATATATATACACAACTCAAAAAAAGGTACACTTTTTTTAATCAGAGTATAGCATAAGTCATTTAAACTTCTGGGATATTAATCTGGGGAGTTAAGTAGCAGAGGGGGTTATTAATCAGTTTCAGCTCCTTTAGTGTTAATGAAATTAACAACAGGTGCACTAGACGGGCAACAATGAGACAACCCCCAAAACAGGAATGGTTTTACAGATGGAGGCCACTGACATTTTTTCCCTATTCATCTTTTCTGACTGTTTTTTACTAGTTTTGCATTTGGCTAGGGTCACTGTCACTACTGGTAGCATAAGGCGATACCTGGACCCTACAGAGGTTGCAAAGGCAGTCCAACTCCTCCAGGATGGCACATCAATATGTACCATTGCCAGAAGGTTTGCAGAGTTTCCCAGCAGTCTCAAGAGCATGGAGGAGATTCCAGAAGAAAGGCAGTTACTTTAGGAGAGCTGGAGGTGGCTGTAAAAGGTCCTTAACCCATCAGTAGGACCGGTATCTGCTCCTTTGTGGAAGGAGGAACAGGATGAGCACTGTGAGAGTCCTATAAAATGACCTCCAGCAGGCCACTGGTGTGAATGTCTCTGACCAAACAAACAGAAACAGACTTCATGAGGGTGGCCTGAGGGCCCAACATCCTCTAGCGTGCCCTGTGCTCACGGAATGGCACCATAGAGTTTGATTTGGCATTTGCCATTGAACACCAGAATTGGTATGTCCACTACTGGAGCCCTGTGCTTTTCACAGACGAGAGCAGATTCACCCTGAGCACATGTGACAGATGTGAAAGGGTCTGGAGAAGCCGTGGAGAATGTTATACTGCCTGTAACATTGTTCAGCATGACCGTTTTGGTGGTGGGGACCGTTTTGGTGGTGGGTCAGTGGTGGTCTGGGGAGGCATATCCACGGAGTGACATACAGACCTCTACAGGCTAGACAATGGTACCCTGACTGCCATTAGGTGTCGGGATGAAATCCTTGGATCCATTGTCAGACCCTGCACTGGCACAGTCCTGGGTTGCAGGCAGTTCCTGGAGGATGAAGGAATTGATACTATTGAATGGCCCCCACGCTTGTCTGACCTAAATCCAATAGAACACCTCTGGAATATCATGTTTCGGTCCATCCGATGCCACCAGGTTGCACCTCAGACTGTCCAGGTGCTCAGTGATGCCCTGGTCCAGATCTGGGAGGAAATACCCCAGGGCACCATCCATCATCTTATTAGGAGCATGCCCCAACATTGTCAGGCCTGGGTGCCATACAAAGTACCATTTTGAGTTGCTGCAATGAAATTTCAGCACAATGGACTAGCCTGCTGCACCGCTTTTTCACTTTGATTTTCAGGGTGTCTTTGAATTCAGTCCTTTGAAAGTTGATAATTTCCCTTTCCATAAAACAATGGGGCATCCTTACATTCCTAACACATTTCCCAGTCCATATTTTTTGAGCAGTGTGTGTGTGTATATATATATATATATATATATTTGGACACATGTGCAGTTCTCATACTTTTGGCTCTGTAACCCACCAGAATAAATTGAAATGAAACAATCCAAATTCATTTGAAGTGCAGACTTTCAGCTTTAATTCAAGGGGTTGAACATAAATATCAAGTACAAATTTTAGGAACTGCAACCATTTTTATACACAGTCTCTCCATTTTGAGGGGCTCCAATGTAAATGGACAAATGAATATAATCATAAATAAAATGTTAATTTTTAATATTTTGTTGAGAATCCATTACAGGTAATGACTGCCTAAAGCCTGGAACCCATGGACATTACCAAAGATTGATGCTTTACCAGGCTCTAACTGCAGCTGTCTTCAGTTGTTCTTTGTTTGTGGGTCTTTCTGTCTTTAGTTTTGCCTTCAGCAAGTGAAATGTGTGAGATGGGGAAACAGCTATCATTGTTTGAACACTTTGTGTGGAAGTAAATTAATGTTTTGACTGACATTCTGCAGTTTAGCCACAAGATGTCACTGTTTTTCTAACACAGCCTCAGACTGCATAGATATTTGTATATTCATGAAGAGGTGGGGTTTTTGCACACAGAGTTGGAGAGAACAGGAAGGAGAGAGAGAAGCCATGTTTTGGGGCTTGGTGAATAAGGGGTCGTCGTGTGAGCTGAGAATCTGATGACATGCAGGTGTGAAAGCGTCCCTCAGTAACCAGAGCTGCAGCTGAGTGAAGCTGATGAGATTGCTGCCAGGAATGCTGATGAGATTGCTGCCAGGAAGCTGATGAGATTGCTGCCAGGAATGCTGATGAGATTGCTGGCAGGAATGCTGATGAGATTGCTGGCAGGAATGCTGATGAGATTGCTGCCAGGAATGCTGATGAGATTGCTACCAGGAATGCTGATGAGATTGCTACCAGGAATGCTGATGAGATTGCTGCCAGGAAGCTGATGAGATTGCTGCCAGGAATGCTGATGAGATTGCTGCCAGGAAGGCTGATGAGAGCAGAGGAACTAAGCAACATATACGGTGAGACCGCATGCTTGTTGGAGAGACATTTGTTCTGTTCAGAGTCACCAGTGGATGAAAAGCAGACCTGGGTCGGTAAGATCGTGCACGCACCTCATTCCAGTGTTGGCGCCTTGAGACTGAGTCCATGCTTATAGTTAGTTAGTGTCTCTGTTTGTGTCAGGCCACAAGTGTTGTTACTGAGTATTTGTTTATTTATTTCAGGTACTTTTATAGCGCTGTCAATTTATGCAGTGCTTTACACATATATATTGAACATGCACATCAGTCCCTAACCATCAAGGGGAGTACAATCTAAGGTCCCTAACTTACATTCATACATACACATATTAGGGCCAATTTAGACAGGAGCCAATTAACCTACCAGCATGTCTTTGGAGTGTGGGAGAAACCGGAGCACCCAGAGGAAACCCACGCAAGCACAGGGAGAACATGCAAACTCCATGCAGGAGGCGCCATGATTGGAAGGACTCCTCAACTTAAAGTGACATTTCACATTGGAGAGCTGACAAAATCCTACCAACTCAAGCCAGACTGGCGTTTTGCTCAGAAGGAATACTCAGGCAGCTGCTACAGGACCAGTTATGGGAGGGGGAATACTGTAGATTTGTGTAAGATTTTAAGCTGTTGTGCTGCACCGCGGGCTAGCCCATATCGTACACCCATACACTGATTCCTGCTCTTTTAGGGTAATAACAGGTAAGGTGTGGCAGCTTATTTGTGCCCGCCAGTAGGTAAATTACTACTCTTTCTACCTTCATCCATCAGAAGGCGCCGTGCTGTGCAGCACAAGGGTCTCAACCTTTGGGCTGGGTGTATATAAATTTATTGTATGTTCCCGGCATTTGTGGTTGTGTTTATTTGCCACATCTAAGTAAAATTCTGTTGTGGCAAAAGCTGGTGTTGGGGTTGCTTTCCTCGTTCGTGACTTCACTGTATCCTGAGGAGCCCACCCCGGTACACGGCTTACAACTGCATGGTCAATTGGGTTGAGATCAGGAGATTGACTCGGCTATTTCAGGATATTCCACTTATTTTCCTTCAATAGCTCCTGGATTGCTTTTGCAGTGTGCTTTGGATCATTGTCCATCTGTACTGTGAAGCGCCGTCCAATCAACTTTTTCAACTGAGTCTGGGCTGACAGTATATCTCTAAACACTGCAGAATTCATCCAGCTGCTTCTGTCTTCTGTCACATCATCAATAAACACCAGAACTCGTCTGGCTTTTATTAGATGTTTTTTGGCAAAGTCTAATCTGGCTTTTCTATTCTTCAGGCTTATGAATGGTTTGCACCTTGTGGTGAACCCTTCACTTGTCTGGATGCTGTGAATGGGGTTTTCTTTACCATAGAGAGGATCCTGCGATCATCCACCACTGTTGTCTTCCGTGGACGTCCAAGCCTTTTTATGTTGCTGAGCTCACCAGTGCATTCTTCTTTCTTCAGAATGTACCAAACTGTTGATTTGGCCACCCCTAATGTTGCTGCTATCTCTCTGATGGATCTGTTTAGTTTTTAAAGCCTTACAATGGCCTGTTTCACTTGCATGGACAGCTCCTTTGAACTCATGATGTGGTTTCACAGCAATAGATTCCAAATGCAAATACCGCACTTAGAATCAACTCCAGACCTTTTACTCGCTTAATTGATGAAGAAACAAGGAAGGAGTAGCCTACACCTGGCCATGAAACAGCTTTTGATTCAATTGTCCAATTACTTTAAGTCCCTTGAAAGAGGGAGGGTTGCTACTCTTAAGAGCTGTAATTCCTAAACTCTCCCTCCAATTTGGTTGTACATACCCTCAAATTAAACTTGAGAGCGTGCACTTGCAGCCTATATCAATTATTTAACTAGCTTGAATATGTTTTGGTAAATACCTGAAAAAAACTAAAACTGTGCCAAATATATATGGACCTAACTGTGTGTGTATATATATATATATATATATATACACACTATATTGCCAAAAGTATTGGGACGCCTGCCTTTACATGCAAATGAGCTGTAATGGCATTCCAGTCTTAGTCTGTAGAGTTCAATATTAAGTTTCCCCACCCTTTGCAGCTTCAAACCTTCGGGAAGGCTGTCCACAAGGTTTAGGAGTGTCTATGGGAATGCTTGACCAGTCTTCCAGAAGCACATTTGTGAGATCAGGCACTGATGTCAGATGAGAAGTCTCTGCTGTAATTCATCCCAGAGGTGTTCTGTCGGGTTGAGGTCAGGACTCTGTGCAGGACAGTCAAGTTCCAACTTGCTCTTCCATGTCTTTATGGACCTTGCTTTGTGCACTGGTGCACAGTCATGTTGGAACAAACTGTTCCCACAAAGTTGGGAGCATGAAATTGTCCAAAATGTCTATGTATGCTGATGCTTTAAGA